TGAGTGCCGCGTTCGAATTTCAGTCATATATATATATATATATATATATATATATATATATATATATACTGAATTTAACAGCTAAATTGTACAAATCCTGTAGCACCATAATTGTCCAACCCACAAAATGTTTACTATCTGAAATACCACTAAACTGAGTTTTTTTTTTCAGGTTTTGAGATAAGACATTTAGTCATTTTGACATCATTTGTCGTAAGAATTACTGAAAAAAAACCCTTTGAGTTATTCATCTAGAAAGAAAACAGGTTAAAATCGTTTTGTGTCAGCCCCACTGTCTTCCCAATTGAGCAATAGTGAGAGGAAAAATAACATTCAGGCCTTCAGTATTGGTAGCAAGATTCATACTCTGGCTTCCATCATCAAAGTCCATTCAAGAAGCATCAAGAGAACGGTGTATAAGTTCAAAAAGAGGGGAAAATAGAGAGGAAGACTGGATTAGGAGGTCACAACAGGAAGAGGGATCATCATTTCAACTTAGAGCTAAAGAGATCAATTAGATAAGATATAATTCAATGCATAAGACGTTTGGCACGAGAGGGAGAGTATCAACTACGACGGTCCAAAGAGCAATGAATAAGACTTGAAAATGAAATCGTACGTGAAAACTGTGAGGTCTTTTTACTTGAGGACAGAAGCTTAGAAGTTTAGAGGGTGAAGATCATCTTGAAAATGATTCTGGAATAATACATATATATATATATATATATATATATATATATATATATATATATATATATATAAAATTGCCAAGAGGACAGAATCCAGGTAGAACTCATTGTCCAGGACAGAGCAAGAATATAATATAAAAGGCTCAAACACTAATATTCCATGGTTAGAATTTATTACATTGGAATCGTAATCACGAGCCAATCCATCAGACGTACAAATTTAAAATGAATTTTTGAATTTGTAGGTCTGATCGTAATCACGATACACGTGATTACGATTCCAATGTAATAAATGGAATATTAGTTGTTTGAGCCTTTTATATTTTATATATATATATATATATATATATATATATATATATATATATATATATATATATATATACAGATTAGCTATGATGAATTAATGATGGGTATATCATTTTTGTTAATGATCGATTTCATAACGATAATTCTGTTAAGCTTAAGTGTGTGGTGTAACAAAAAATTGTCCAATATTTAAATTAATTATATATATATATATATATATATATATATATATATATGTAGAAATGATCTAAATAAAAGATACGATCAACCATATATATGAGCGATTACGTACACATACAGGTGAGCAACTACCTATTTTGACAAAATAGTGCTCAATATAGTAAAACAGAGCTATAAAATATATGTTAATAATTACGCATATATGTAAGTTTACAGTACGACTCATAGTTTCATAGATTTGCCAATCCTCAGCTACAAAAAAGTTACCTGTTGATTGGCAAATCTATGAAACTCTGAGTATGTGTAATTATTAATATATATAAATATAAAAAATAAGAGTGGGGGATAATTTTTACATGTCAAGAAATCTGATGCTTAGACAAAAAGAAAATAATGATGAACATGTCATTTTCGTGTATGATCGATTTCACTACGATTCTTCTGTTAAGCATGGCGAGTAATTATACATCTTATTGTTCAATGTAGAGACCAATAGTGTTATAAGAACGTCGGAGAATTCCAGTAAGATATCTTTAATCATTTCTAATATACTATAGTCTATTATGTGTAGTAAAGGCAGTTATTTTAGACTTTTCTCAAATTACTAATATATACAAATATTCGCACTATTGTCAAACCGACATGGCCTGAAAATTATGTTAAAGCAGAAAACAAACAGTCACTATTCGGTGCTGAACTCTCTCCTCATTGTCTATACTCTCACACACATGCACACACACTTATGCACACACACTTGTGCGTGCGTGCGTGTGTGTGTGTGTGTGTGAATCTTTATCACCAGAATCTCTCTCACATATTTATAAATCTACAATTCATCTTTTTGTTTTTACTTTGAATATTGCTGCCGCATCTGGTCTGGTGCTTCTGCTATACATTTAGCGATTCCTGGAGAAATCCAAAGAGGAATCTGCAATGTTATTGGACCTGACTTGGCATCTCAGCTTCAGCCGTTTTCCCAACGTCATAACTTTGCTTGCTTGTGCCTTTACTATTAAAATATTTAATACTCTTTATGGGAATTGTTCTGATGAACTTTCTGCTATAGTACCCAAACTTTAGTAATTTCAGTGCAGTACTTGATTGGCGTCAAGGTTTCATCAGTTGCGAAATGTTCAGTAAGTTCTGTATTTGCAGATCTTTTTTTTTCTGTGTAGTGTGTCTGATAACATGTATCGGATAAACTTAGTACGTAGATTCACTATTGTTTCTTTACAGTAGGCAATTAAACTTAGTTTAATCTCTTAGTTCTAATTAAGACGAGGAACTAGAGTAAATGGTGTCTCTTAGTGGCGCCATCCTCTTTCGACATAACCATTTCTTGACGAAAGCAACGTAAATACTGAACTTTATTAGATCTAAGCGCATTAAAAATCATGCAGATGTTCTCGGATTTCTTGGCATTTTATTTCTCCCAGACGCGTATCAACATATCCACTCCGGGGGTAAACAACTGAACGTTACCGGAGATACAACGTGACTTCAGCGTCCCGGTGGCAGCCATTCAAACTTAGAAAACTCCTCATTCAAATAGTCACTGATTAATTTCATGACGATGCTTAAGAACTGAAGCAATGTGTCATGAAATCGGTTCACTTTTTATTTTTTATTAAAAAAAATTGAACCGATTTCATATATATATATATATATATATATATATATATATATATATATAGTCGTTGCTCAAAATAGAGGAATTTAACCAATACTGACAGAGCATTATTTACATTATTCGGACTATTGTCTTCATCATTGTCGCCATATTTATTACAACGTTTCGGCCTTCTTTAGGTGGTTGGAATGTCGAACTGAACCCTTTACTTCGCTCACTGGGGTAGACTGTTCTAGTTCCACGTGCCATGTTTGATGGATGTCAGTTATCAGTTATCTCCTGCTAATTTTCCCTCTGAAAGTTCTCCACTGCCTTAACTGGGTATTGAACTGGATCTATCACTGGATCTAACCAACGCCTTTATCCACTGTGCCATGTATCCTTGAGGACATCTGGGTATGAATTTCTGGGTATTATAAATCTAATGTCTTCAGCAACCATTTTTACTAGTGCTCATATTGCAATTTTGCTGTTATCATTGCATGTTTATACCAGAGCTCATATTGCAACTGTTGTTGTTATCATTGCTTTTCTCTGGCACTCCTTATTACTGGTTCCCATATTGTATTTATTTCTATGCTTGGTCGGCTCAGGAGATTTTTGTGGCCTAGCATATGTGCTGATTCCTTAAGTTTACGAATTTTCCAATGGTGTTCCTTGTCTATGATCTCGACTTGATCTCACAGAGGGCGTTGATCTCCCTTCTCTCCCCATATGTGGTCAGCCACGCCTGATTTTTCTACTTCCCCTCGTGTTACAGCTTTCTGGTGTTCTTGAAGTCTTACCTTGAGGGGGCAGCCTGTCTCCTCTTTATATTCCTTTCCGCAGCTGCATGGGATAGCGTACACACAGTCTTTAGTTATGTTCTCTTCGGGAGAGATATCTGCAAAGTGTCGTCAAGCTTTTGAAGGTTGTCCTGGTGTTATATGGACCGCAGATCCTTTGTATTTTCTCTGATAACCCCTTCACATAAGGCAGGCAGAATGTTTTCTGAGTGTTGTTGTCCTCCTCCTCTTGTAACCGCCTATCCCATTTTTCTTTTTTTGGGAGTGGGGGGGATGCTGCCATGTACCAAGGGTAGTTGTTACGTTGTAGGGTACTACTTATACTGACCAATTCTTTATCTAACGTCTCTGGGTCGCCACTTATCACTTTTGCTCGATGTTGTAAGCAACGGACGATCCCTTTCGTTACGCTGTATGGATGGTGGGAGTTGAAATTGAGGTAGTGTCCGGTGAATGTTGGCTTACGGTATACGTATGTCTTAAACCCATGCTCTGTTCGAGATATTAGAACATCCAGGAATAATGTGCATAATACTTCATCTCAGAAATATAGACAGACACTGACAGAACAGTGCTATTATATGAACATGGTGCAAGAGAAATACCTCCCACATTTATCTCCTAGAAATACCCCGCACTTAATGGTAAGACATTGGTGGCGATGGTGTCTTCGTGTAGTTCATGTTATTTTGTGGAAGGTATTTCTGGGAGATATCATATTCTATTTGTACCTGTATAATGCAAATACTGGTTTTTATTTTAAAGAAAGAGATTGTCATTGCTTAAGAGATAAGGCAAGTATTATTGAAAAAATGAATAGAATTTTTGTGTGTCGATATTTTTCTGTAAAGTTTCAAATTAATCATGATCCAATAGAGTTATCATCAGGAAAATCACAAAGCAAAGTTGAAATATTTGAATTTTCATTATTTTACTGATTAACTTATTTTCTCCGATTCTTTCTTGGAATCTTTTTTTTTCAATATACGTTTAATTTTATTCTTATTTTTTTATTTATGTTTATCTTTGTTTTCATTTTTTAATTATTTTTTTAATAATTTTATCTTTATAAGTTTTTTTTATTTGTTTTATTTTTAATTTTATTTCTGTATTTTGCTTTTGTTCTTCATTGTTTTCTTACCGTTGAAATTTCATCAGATTCTTTCTAAATCTTACTTTTTAAAAAGTATATATTTTGCTTTATATCCGTTTTTTATTTATAGTTTTTTTTTATCTTAATTTTTAATTTGATGTTTTTAGTTTTACATTTTTATTTTCATTTTTTTAAAAAATTTTTTCAGTTTTTATATTTTTATTTGCTTTATTTATATTTTTCATTGTTTTTGTATTATTAGTAGTATTTCTTCTCATATAATTCCGAATTTTCTTTCTTTCTTTGCCCTTAAGTTGTAAATATTCTCTACCCTCTATATTTCCTTGACTGTGTCTCTTTCTTTCTTTCTTTCTTTCTTTCTTTCTTTCTTTCTAATCATTTCCCAGGTATTCGCAGCTACTCACTTTATTTCTTCCTTTTCATTCATTCTTTATTTCTTTACAATCGTGTGTCAAATATAAGTTACACTTTTTTTTCTTTCTTTCATTGTTTCTTTCTCTTCGTTCTTTCCAATAATGTTCCAGTTACTTGCCGCTACTCCCTTTATTAGATCCTTCCATTTCTTTCTTTCTTTCTCTCTAATCATTTCCCAGGTATTCGCTGCTACTCACTTTATTCCTTTCTTTTCTTTCATTCTTTGTTTCTTTCTTTCTTTGCAATTATATTCCAGGTATTCGCTACTCTCTTAATTCCTTCTTTGTTTCTTTCTTTGTTTCTTACTAATCATGTTTCAAGTATTCACCGCTACTCTTTTATGCCTTCCTTTTCTTTCTTTCTTTCTTTCTTTCTTTCTTTCTTTCTTTCTTTCTTTCTTTTTTTTTTTCTTTCTTTCTTTCTTTCTTTTTTTCTTTCTTTCTTTTTTCTTTCTTTCTTTCTTTCTTTTTCTTTTTCTTTCTTTCTTTCTTTCTTTCTTTCTTTCTTTCTTTCTTTCTTTCTAATCATGTTCCAGGGATTCGCTACTCTATGTATTCTTTCTTTTTTATTTTCCGCT